ATGATAAAATATATAATAATAATATAAAATATATAATAAAATTTAAGAAAATATATAATAAATATATAAGAAAAATAGCTAACAAAATTTGACTAATAAAAATTGATTAATAAAAATTTAAAAATATACTAATAATAATATAAAATATACTAATAAAATTTTACTATATTGCAATATACTCATCTAATATAAAGGTTTCTTGATAAACCCTTGTTCGGTATTTCTAAATAAAAAATCCCAGCTCTGAAGAGGCTAGTTTAAAAAAAAAGTTTTTAAAACCAAATAAAAAAATAAAAAAAAAACTAAAAAAAAACAATATAAAATACTCTCTAATTAGTATCTTACAATAAATATTTCATCTTTTGATATTTATATTTTGTATTAAATTTTTTTCAAAAAGTAAAGATTTTAATTTTTTTTATTAAAAAATTAATATTGATAATATTTTATATCAGAAAGTTTAGATACAATATAACTATAAAAAATATAACAAATATGATATTACTACCAAATTAATTTTAAATTAAAAATCTGTAGTATGTTTATAGATTAAATCTTTAAGATAATAATCTGTTATATTAAAATTTTATAAAATACTTGTAAAATTTCTTAGAAGCTAATACTTATAGCTTAGATAAGAATAGAAAAGTTCTTAAATAAAAAATTAAATAGCTTTAGTTTTTTTTTTGTTTTATTTAGTCTTAGTTCAAATAATTAGAATAGTTAGATTAAAATTAAATATAACTATTTGAGTATAGCTAGATATAAAGATGCTAGCTATTAACTCAAAAGATTAAATTTTTAGTAAGTTAAAAACCTAGAGAGAGGCCAAGTTCTATTAAGGCTATCACATTTGATATAAGCCAAATGAGCTTCTTTGAGTTGGTGTTTAATAGAAGCTATAAAAAAATTTTATTATAATTTGTTAAATAGTCTAAATATCCAAATAAAGAGAACAGCATTACAAAATTAAAAAAAATCCATCATTTTTAAAATAATCACTATATTTATTATTATATTTTAAAAACTTATAATAAACAATTAAAAATTTAAAAATTAAAATTTTATTATATAAACTACTACTAATTAAAATAAAATTAAAATAAAACCTTTTATTTAATTTTTAAAACCTAATTATACTTGTTTATTATAAATTTGAACCCTAAACTAACCTCTAACTCTAAAAAATATGCTTCAAAAATTTATATTTTTAATAACTTGTCTATTTTAAACTATATAAAATTAAGGCATGGCCTTACCTTTGAAGATTAAAAAAACTATATAAAATTTAATTTTTAATCTAATTTGATTTTAATCTATTATATAAACTAACCAAATTTCTAAATAAAATTTTTATTATACAAATTTTATATGTAGGTAAAAAAACCAGGACGTCTAAAAATAGATTTCTTTAAACAACGGAATACGGACTTTAAATAATACTAATATGTGATTAAAAAACAGTATAATTTATTTTAGTCAGATTGGTCAAAAACCCGCATTCCGTTATATAAAAAAGCCTATATTTAGGATTTCTGGTTGTTACTTGACGGCACCATATTTATATACATTTAATTTCAAACTATATATATATAGTATTAAATTTAATTTTAAATTAAAATATTTATTAATTTATACTTATATACAAATACATATATATATATATATATATATATATATATATATATATATAAACTTAAAAACGTTTTGTGATTTGGATAAATTTATAATATAAAATAATAGGGTTTAGCATGTGAAAAATAAATCAATTCCAAACTTTAGATATTGCTTATACTATTTGAGTGACGCCAAGGGAAAATCAGACTTCGTGAACTTAAGTTTATTATTTGAGTGATGTCAAGGGAAAGCCAGACTTCGTGAACTTTATTATTTGAGTGATGCCAAGGGAAAACCAAACTTCGTGAACTTTATTATTTGAGTGATGCTAAGGGAAAACCAGACTTCGTGAACTTAAGTTTATTATTTGAGTGATGCCAAGGCAAAACCTGCAAGCAAATTTTGAGGTATCAATGTAAGTAAATTTAGTTATATGTGCATCTTCAGGGCTGAATACAATAAATAATAATAATAAACTTAAAGCCCGAAGTCTAGTTTTCTTCGGTGTCACTCATTTCAGAAGTTTTATTAGATCAAAATTTTACATAGTTGCTAGATTGTAACCATCATGCCATAGATGTTAACTGAATAACGAAATAAAAGGTAATTCTTGGATATTTTAAATGATGTTTAAACAATAAAGCTTTGTGTTATGTAACATCCATATTGTCTAATTATAAAATTGCCAAATCCGACATAATAGTCACACTTGTTAACAATGTACGTACTACGTATAGATGCTGGTGAAACTGGTAACTATCTAACATCTGAATGGCTGTTACGTATATTAAATTTCACCAGTTTCACCACAAAGAGTTTCACCAGAATCTATAGTACGTACGTACGTACCTTATAGAGACAAGTACGTATAAACAAGGTATTTCCTAAATTGTTAACATCAATAAAGTGATACTTTATTGAAGTCGATAATTTAAGAAATATTTAATTTCAACTTTATGGAAGTTGATAAGTTAAGAAATAAGCAGACCATCTCTCCAGAGTTAATATAACGTATAATTAAGTAGGTATAATTAAGTAGTTCATTTGAAAGTATTTATGTACACATTTTATTGATTCCAATAATTTAGGAAATAATTTGTTTATCTTGTCTCTATTAGACTTCTTGCACCGTACGTACGTACATGAATGTCTACTCGGTATATCGGGTAAAATTTTATACGTCATTTACCTGGTAATCAGGGAGTTTATCTGTCGGGTAACCTGAGTACAATCATTATTTGAGTGTACCGTGAACCAAGAATCTAAAAATGGAATTCTTTATACACGGGAATGTGGACATCGGACTAGAAATCCCGCTTTTGTTGTATAAAGAATTCTGTTTTTAGACTTCCTGGTTTTCACTTGGCGGCGCTCATTTTGGACATACATCTACAAATGAGTGTCGCTAAAAGAAAACCCGAAAATTGAAATATGACATATATTTAAATTTTCGGATTTTCTTTTAGCGACACTCACAATTTAAAGTTTTGTAGTACAAAAACCTGACTTTAAATTGCGCGCTTTCGTAAATGCAAGTACAAAAAGCCATATACTAGTTGGTACTTTGTGCCCATGAGCATAAATGCTGTCTGGCACAAAATTGTCATGCATTTATTTAGGCACAAGCACTTTAGGCTGACCTGTATCTTTAATAATAATGCCTAGTATTTTGTCATGCGTTTTTAATAGTGCCTAGCACTTAGCGTTTTTGCGCCTATGGGAACAAGACACCAATGTCTGACATAGTGCCAATGTACCCGACATAGACATCTGCAGATCCATAATTGAAATTGATGAATCTGACTATATCAACACGATTATGTAGGAAATGGGAATTTAATATCCCATAAATTATAAACATTTATTTAGGCATTTTGAATTCTTGGAATTTTATGGACTTGATCGACAGTCCAAAATTGCAGTTCCAAAGGACCTAAGTCCCAAACGGTTCAATTTTAATTTGTTATATAATATGTAGAATTACAGAAAAGTTCAACACGGTTACACAAAAAAACAAAAAATATCATAAATTGCATAAATTAATTAATATAATATTAATACATAGTATGAAGATTGATACGTACACCTATGCTGTCCTTAAGGTTTCGTAAGGTTTGGTGGAGGCGGCCTTCGTTGCCTTTTAATGCTTTCCACATATTCTCAATAGGATAAGTTGTTTATTATGTTTTTTGTGCGTCTCTGGTTCGAAACTTAAGTTTGAACAAAATGCAACTCTCACATGATATAATTTGAACTTAGTTTAAAAATAACATTAAGTTTCAGATCAACGTAAGCATTCATTATATGCATATTGGTCATATGAGCCTATGGCTTTGTTAGCAATGCGAAACAATCATATCTTTATCAACAAGGCTCATCTTCAAATACTACGTTACTTTACATGAAGATGATCAATGTTAAATGTTAAGTTCTAATATCGATATATTCATATATATTCATAATAATTTAGCAAAAAGGAAATCCCATAGTCATTCATCTGTGTTTCAGTCATCTCCGTTCAATATAGGCGCAACGTAATAGGCTTTTTGTGTATTAGTGGCTTCTGGTTTACATTGTACAAAAAAACAATCTGATCCACAGTACAAATGATCAGATTTGCACTGACAGGTTTATCCATGTATGTTGTATTTCATGTCACTCTGTGATTGGCGGGAATGCACATACTGTACCTATTTTTTTCGATCAATTTTTTACTAACGACAATGGAAGGCTATAAAATTCCTGGACTCCCAAAAATTATACCTGTAGTAAAGCACCTTTTAAAAAAAACCAAAATCGGTACCATAAAATACAGTCGTTGGACACCTCAAGAAATCACCACACTTCTAGCAGCATATAAAGAACATGGCAAAAACTGGAACTTAATTTCTCAACAATATCTTTCTGATCGACCACCCTCCACTATAAGACGAAAATATATACATTTAGAAAAAATTAAAGCAAGACCAACGTCAGAATATAATACATGGACACCAGAGGATGATGAAACACTAAGAATGGCCACGTATGAGTATGGTGTGGGGAAATGGAGTGAAATTAGGAAGAAATTTTTTTCTGATAGGTCATCAGCACAAGTTCAAGAAAGATGGAAAGTTCTATCAAAAACCAAATTTGGAAAATGGTGTCCCGAAGAAGATAAGAAATTACAGGAGCTAGCTAAACAATACAAGGAAGATTATCGAGTGATTTCTGAAATATTAAAACGGCCAGTCCATTCGGTTTATGTACGATACAGACGTTTACAAACCCCAAAATGGACAATTGAAGAATTAGATAAATTACGTGATTTACTAAAAGAATATGGCAAAAATTGGGAGAGAATCGAGCAAATGATGCCAGAGAGAAATGGGTGGGAAATTAAAAAAGCGGCGGATACCTTAGTTTGTGTTAATCCTTTTGTCAATAGGCGAATGTGGAGCAAAACAGAAAAGGGGTTGATTAAAGAAGGTGTAACCATGTATGGAAACAATTGGGTTAAAGTTAGCCAAGTTGTAGGTACTAGGTCACATAAACAATGTCAGAGATATTGGCAAATAGAACAAGAAAAAGAGAAAATCAGAAAAACAAATAGTGATCATATACTTTCTTGATTTTATCATTTAAATGTTGTTACTAGCCTTAAATTCAATACTTTTGTTTAGCCTTAGTCTTAAAGTCCAGTTATTCCGAATTTATCAATTTATATCCAAATAACAACATTGATTTCACTTATTTTTAATTTAGTATTTACTTACTCAGATTGTATGTAATACCGATTACAATATTTGCTTTGACATCCACACAATATATTATTAAATATTTTATTAAATAAACTTCCTTTTTAGCGATCAAAGGCTTTCGTGTAACTTTCCAGTAAACATTTTGTTGAACTTAATAAACGATTAGCCATTTTTGTTAATGAAAAGATCATTAACTGAAAAGGTTCAACTAATTATTCAATAACATGAGAATTGTTTCTTTCATTTATTTACTCATTTTACTATTTGTGTCTTTGAGTGATTAATGATTGTAATTCATAATTTTCACAATCTCAGTTTGGAAATGTCTTGACATCTTCGATCTTTGTGAATCACAAAATTTCTGCAAATGCACAAAGATTATTCAATGGCATCTCTTGCAGTACAGGTGACACTCACTCTAAACTGATTGATTACACATTATAAATGGGGTTGGTGCACTGCAAGAGACCCTTCATCGGGTTGAATTTTCTGCGAAAGAATCTCTTAAGCCTTATTTAAAAATTTTTACCCGTGTAAAATACGAATATGGCCCAATTACGATTTACTTTATGTTTCCTAGTTATGATATGTATTATACGTGTAATTCCTGTGGCTAAAGCAGAAAGTTCTCTTGGTCTAATTCCTTCACCCGATATACCCGGTATTCCAAAAGAAGGAAGTGATTACTCAAAGTTGTTAGCTTATTCTTTATATTTTTATGAAGCTCAAAGAAGTGGAATCTTGCCTCCGAACAATCGAGTATCCTGGTAAGTTTAACTTTATATGATTGTTTCCTCGAATCAAAAGTTTCATCAATTTTCATTTTTACCATCAGGAGACATAATTCCGCACTTGATGACGGGAAAGATAAAGGTGTAAACTTAAGTGGGGTGAGTTTCGTCATTATATACGGATGCTACTGAGAGAAATCTGTATAATTTACCGGAAATCCCGATAACAGGTTTTTCTTGGGCGGCACCCATACGTATCAGTATGATTTAATCATTTGATTTAATTAATTAAAAAAAATAACTTCCAGGGCTACTATGATGCAGGTATATATATATTTTCTTACAATTTATGATCAAACGATTATTATATAACTGCATTTTATAGGTGATTACATAAAGTTTACTCTACCATTGTCATGGTCACTGTCTCTCATTTCATGGTGATTTGTCAATTTGCTTAGAACTCTTGATTCTCTTTATTTTCTGTTTTAGTTTTAAATTATATATTCATTTAGGGGAGCAATCGAATGGTTTGATGGATATCGAATTGCAAATCAAACTGGATATCTATATGATATGGTCAAATGGGGAACTGATTGGTTAATAGCAGCTCATCCTAAACCTGATCAACTTTTCATTCAAGTCGGTTCAACTCGAATTGATAATTCATATTGGGGCCCTGATACTAAGTATGTACTTATCCAGGTTATCCGGGTAATTTCATATATACCTATATAATTGCGGTAGACATACATTTGGTTTATGATAGCATACAAGCATCTTTTGAATTAGCATCACGTTATTTTTTTATATTTATTTTATTATTTTTTATTATTTTTTTTTTTGACAACGATAAATATAACGATAAATAGTCTTTCGTATCCACGTCCTGCTTATGATATTAATTCAACGGCACATGGTACTGACGTCGCCGCAGAAGCGGCTGCAGCCTTTGCATCCTCGGCAATTCTATTTCGAGATTTTCTTAATGATACTGCCTATGCAAAAACATTATTATCCCATGCTATAAGCGTTTATAATTATTCCGAACAACCAACCCTAGGATTCGCTACAACGTCTATCCCTGAAAGCCGTGGATACACGACTTCTTCATATTATGACAAATTAGTTTATGGTGCTATTTGGTTATACCGCGCCACTAATCAACCTCAATACTTAACTAAAGCAGTAGATTATTATAACCAAGCCAGATTACAGAATAGTTCAAGAGTTATGTCATGGGATGAACAAACAGTTAAATAGTTTTCAATTTTTTATTCGGTAAATTTTTGTTTTTTATTAAATATTTCAACTTTCATTCTTATTTTAATAATATTTAGGGTGCTTGCAACATTTTATTTGCTCAGATATTCGCTAATAGAGTAAATGCAAATGCAAGTACAATTGCAAATTTCACTTTTTGGGCTAATGAAACTGAACGTTACTTGGATGGAATTATGTCAAATAAAAATAATTGTACTCATACAAAAGGTGGACTTTTATGGTGTGGTGATAGCCAAGCAGCATCATTAGCTATTGCTCTTTATGGTGCCTTTGGATTTCTAATGTATTCTTCTTACGCGTCTACTATTGAGAAAACTAATGCATATAAAAACTTTGTAACATCACAAATTAATTATTTATTCGGTGATAATCCTATGAAAATGTTTTATGTTGTGGCTGTTCATCCAAACTCTCCTAAAAATCCTCATCATGCTGGTGCGTCTGGAGGAACAAGCTTAGTAACCTTGAATGACCCAGTAAAGACTAAGTATCCTTTATATGGAGCCATTGTAGGTGGTCCGGCTCAGAATGATACATATGAAGATTCAAGAGCAAATGTTGATCAATCTGAGGTATTTTATTAAACGGGTTACTTTTTGTAAGTGGAAACACAAATTAAGATTAGGATTAGAGTTCGTTTATATAAATGATTTTATTATAAAATATTAAACTTACTCAAAATCCACTTAAGTTCCATTTTCACTTACAATCTATATGCATACATATTAGTTTATTAATTCATCCTATAAATTTATTGTCAATTTAAAGGTTGCGCTTGATTATAATTCCGCATATCAAGGAATAATGGCATATTATGTTATTGACTCATATATCCCCCCACCAGAAAATCCAAGAGGACCAACAGGACCAACATCGATATTTACTAATTTACCTCAGAATCACAAACTTCTAATTATAATTGTTAGTTGTGGTGCTTTCTTGTTTCTAGTTTTAAGTATAATAATATACAGGTACAGGAGAATTGTATTCTGCATAGGAGATCCTGAAAAAAATAATCAAGGCATAAAATCAGATGCTAAAAAAGATAACAAGAACATTGAAAGCGAACTATCAGAGCATTCTGAAAAAGATAACCAGAGTACTACAAGTGAACTATCAAAGCAGTCTGAAAAAGATAACCAAGACACTGAAAGTAAACCATTAAAACAGTCTGAAAAAGATAACCAAGCTTTTGAAAGTGAACCATTAAAACAGTCTGAAAAAAATAACCAGGACTCTGAAAGTGAACCATCAAAACAGTCTGAAAAAAATAACCAGGACTCTGAAAGTGAACCATCAAAACAGTCTGAAAAAGATAACCAGGACTCTGAAAGTGAAACATTAAAGCAGTCTGAAAGAAATAACCAGGACTCTGAAAGTGAATCATCAAAACAGTCTGAAAAAGATAACCAGGACTCTAAAAGTGAACCATCGAAACAGTCTGAAAAAGATAGCCAGAACTCTGAAAGTGAACCATCAAAACAGTTTGAAAAAGATAACCAGGATCCTGAAAGTGAACCATTAAAGCAGTCTGAAAGAAATATCCAGGACTCTGAAAGTGATCCATCAAAAAAGTCTAAAAAAGATAACCAGGACTCTAAAAGTGAACCATCAAAACAGTCTGAAAAAGATAGTCAGAACTCTGAAAGTGAACCATTAAAACAGTCTGAAAAAGATAACCAGGACTCAAAAAGTGAACCATTAAAGCAGTCTGAAAGAAATAACCAGGATTCTGAAAGTGATCCATCAAAACAGTTTGAAAAAGATAACCAGGACTCTAAAAGTGAACCATCAAAACAGTCTGAAAAAGATAATCAGAACTCTGAAAGCGAACTATCAAAACAGTCTGAAAAAGACAACCAGGACGCTGAAAATGAACCATTGAAACAGTTTACAAGTGAAAATAACACTTCAAATGATACGTAGTTGAAATTTTATAACTTTTACTTTCACGGTTGATTGCGATCGTGCAATGAAATGATTGTTATCCGAATTTTTAGTTTAAATTCATGAAAATTAATTGTTGTGGATTAAGCATTAAACCTATTTTAAGGCCATACAAAGTTAAAAAATTTTTTTTGTTTTATGACAATTTATTTTAAACAAGTATAATAGTATATAGTTGTTGTAATATAATAAACATTTTTTTATTTTTTTGATATTGCTACACCCCTGTAATTTGTTAAATAATTTATTCAAAAAGCATGTAGTTTTAAACAGATGTTACGTATTAGAAATTTATTATATCTAAATAACTAAATAAAATTATATTTTTAGTATATAATTTAAATAGAGTTATCATTAGGGATTGAAAACTGCGCAGGCGGAATAAATCGGAAGCAAAATTATAGGCGGAATTTGCGGAGGTCACCTTTAATGATAATTATCATTTATCAACATGGCAATGCATCGCCACCCGATTAACCAATCAGAATTCAAGATCAGGTGTAATCAAAACAAAATTTTTATAAAAAAATGACACATTAGTTTAGGGTTAAGGCCAAGGTTAGCATTATGTAATAGCAAAAAAGAATCTAGCCCAAAATTTTGCAAGAAATTTTTTTGTTAGATCTCACGTTACACCTGATCCTGCATCTCATGGCGATGAATGATAACTAGGGATGGGTAAATAGTCGAATTTTACTGCGCAGGCTGCGCAGCCTGCACACCTTAACGATCTCGTGATCCGGTGATTGGATTTGGGCTCATTATCATTGGAATCGTCTTATCGAGACGATCATTTTGGTGGCAAATTGTATCACTAGATCAAATTATTTGTTACTAAAGGTGACCTCCGCAAATTCCGCCTATAATTTTGCTTCCGATTTATTCCGCCTGCGCAGTTTTCAATCCCTAATGATAACTCTATTTAAATTATATACTAAAAATATAATTTTATTTAGTTATTTAGATATAATAAATTTCTAATACGTAACATCTGTTTAAAACTACATGCTTTTTGAATAAATTATTTAACAAATTACAGGGGTGTAGCAATATCAAAAAAATAAAAAAATGTTTATTATATTACAACAACTATATACTATTATACTTGTTTAAAATAAATTGTCATAAAACAAAAAAAATTTTTTAACTTTGTATGGCCTTAAAATAGGTTTAATGCTTAATCCACAACAATTAATTTTCATGAATTTAAACTAAAAATTCGGATAACAATCATTTCATTGCACGATCGCAATCAACCGTGAAAGTAAAAGTTATAAAATTTCAACTACGTATCATTTGAAGTGTTATTTTCACTTGTAAACTGTTTCAATGGTTCATTTTCAGCGTCCTGGTTGTCTTTTTCAGACTGTTTTGATAGTTCGCTTTCAGAGTTCTGATTATCTTTTTCAGACTGTTTTGATGGTTCACTTTTAGAGTCCTGGTTATCTTTTTCAAACTGTTTTGATGGATCACTTTCAGAATCCTGGTTATTTCTTTCAGACTGCTTTAATGGTTCACTTTTTGAGTCCTGGTTATCTTTTTCAGACTGTTTTAATGGTTCACTTTCAGAGTTCTGACTATCTTTTTCAGACTGTTTTGATGGTTCACTTTTAGAGTCCTGGTTATCTTTTTTAGACTTTTTTGATGGATCACTTTCAGAGTCCTGGATATTTCTTTCAGACTGCTTTAATGGTTCACTTTCAGGATCCTGGTTATCTTTTTCAAACTGTTTTGATGGTTCACTTTCAGAGTTCTGGCTATCTTTTTCAGACTGTTTCGATGGTTCACTTTTAGAGTCCTGGTTATCTTTTTCAGACTGTTTTGATGATTCACTTTCAGAGTCCTGGTTATTTCTTTCAGACTGCTTTAATGTTTCACTTTCAGAGTCCTGGTTATCTTTTTCAGACTGTTTTGATGGTTCACTTTCAGAGTCCTGGTTATTTTTTTCAGACTGTTTTGATGGTTCACTTTCAGAGTCCTGGTTATTTTTTTCAGACTGTTTTAATGGTTCACTTTCAAAAGCTTGGTTATCTTTTTCAGACTGTTTTAATGGTTTACTTTCAGTGTCTTGGTTATCTTTTTCAGACTGCTTTGATAGTTCACTTGTAGTACTCTGGTTATCTTTTTCAGAATGCTCTGATAGTTCGCTTTCAATGTTCTTGTTATCTTTTTTAGCATCTGATTTTATGCCTTGATTATTTTTTTCAGGATCTCCTATGCAGAATACAATTCTCCTGTACCTGTATATTATTATACTTAAAACTAGAAACAAGAAAGCACCACAACTAACAATTATAATTAGAAGTTTGTGATTCTGAGGTAAATTAGTAAATATCGATGTTGGTCCTGTTGGTCCTCTTGGATTTTCTGGTGGGGGGATATATGAGTCAATAACATAATATGCCATTATTCCTTGATATGCGGAATTATAATCAAGCGCAACCTTTAAATTGACAATAAATTTATAGGATGAATTAATAAACTAATATGTATGCATATAGATTGTAAGTGAAAATGGAACTTAAGTGGATTTTGAGTAAGTTTAATATTTTATAATAAAATCATTTATATAAACGAACTCTAATCCTAATCTTAATTTGTGTTTCCACTTACAAAAAGTAACCCGTTTAATAAAATACCTCAGATTGATCAACATTTGCTCTTGAATCTTCATATGTATCATTCTGAGCCGGACCACCTACAATGGCTCCATATAAAGGATACTTAGTCTTTACTGGGTCATTCAAGGTTACTAAGCTTGTTCCTCCAGACGCACCAGCATGATGAGGATTTTTAGGAGAGTTTGGATGAACAGCCACAACATAAAACATTTTCATAGGATTATCACCGAATAAATAATTAATTTGTGATGTTACAAAGTTTTTATATGCATTAGTTTTCTCAATAGTAGACGCGTAAGAAGAATACATTAGAAATCCAAAGGCACCATAAAGAGCAATAGCTAATGATGCTGCTTGGCTATCACCACACCATAAAAGTCCACCTTTTGTATGAGTACAATTATTTTTATTTGACATAATTCCATCCAAGTAACGTTCAGTTTCATTAGCCCAAAAAGTGAAATTTGCAATTGTACTTGCATTTGCATTTACTCTATTAGCGAATATCTGAGCAAATAAAATGTTGCAAGCACCCTAAATATTATTAAAATAAGAATGAAAGTTGAAATATTTAATAAAAAACAAAAATTTACCGAATAAAAAATTGAAAACTATTTAACTGTTTGTTCATCCCATGACATAACTCTTGAACTATTCTGTAATCTGGCTTGGTTATAATAATCTACTGCTTTAGTTAAGTATTGAGGTTGATTAGTGGCGCGGTATAACCAAATAGCACCATAAACTAATTTGTCATAATATGAAGAAGTCGTGTATCCACGGCTTTCAGGGATAGACGTTGTAGCGAATCCTAGGGTTGGTTGTTCGGAATAATTATAAACGCTTATAGCATGGGATAATAATGTTTTTGCATAGGCAGTATCATTAAGAAAATCTCGAAATAGAATTGCCGAGGATGCAAAGGCTGCAGCCGCTTCTGCGGCGACGTCAGTACCATGTGCCGTTGAATTAATATCATAAGCAGGACGTGGATACGAAAGACTATTTATCGTTATATTTATCGTTGTCAAAAAAAAAAATAATAAAAAATAATAAAATAAATATAAAAAAATAACGTGATGCTAATTCAAAAGATGCTTGTATGCTATCATAAACCAAATGTATGTCTACCGCAATTATATAGGTATATATGAAATTACCCGGATAACCTGGATAAGTACATACTTAGTATCAGGGCCCCAATATGAATTATCAATTCGAGTTGAACCGACTTGAATGAAAAGTTGATCAGGTTTAGGATGAGCTGCTATTAACCAATCAGTTCCCCATTTGACCATATCATATAGATATCCAGTTTGATTTGCAATTCGATATCCATCAAACCATTCGATTGCTCCCCTAAATGAATATATAATTTAAAACTAAAACAGAAAATAAAGAGAATCAAGAGTTCTAAGCAAATTGACAAATCACCATGAAATGAGAGACAGTGACCATGACAATGGTAGAGTAAACTTTATGTAATCACCTATAAAATGCAGTTATATAATAATCGTTTGATCATAAATTGTAAGAAAATATATATATACCTGCATCATAGTAGCCCTGGAAGTTATTTTTTTTAATTAATTAAATCAAATGATTAAATCATACTGATACGTATGGGTGCCGCCCAAGAAAAACCTGTTATCGGGATTTCCGGTAAATTATACAGATTTCTCTCAGTAGCATCCGTATATAATGACGAAACTCACCCCACTTAAGTTTACACCTTTATCTTTCCCGTCATCAAGTGCGGAATTATGTCTCCTGATGGTAAAAATGAAAATTGATGAAACTTTTGATTCGAGGAAACAATCATATAAAGTTAAACTTACCAGGATACTCGATTGTTCGGAGGCAAGATTCCACTTCTTTGAGCTTCATAAAAATATAAAGAATAAGCTAACAACTTTGAGTAATCACTTCCTTCTTTTGGAATACCGGGTATATCGGGTGAAGGAATTAGACCAAGAGAACTTTCTGCTTTAGCCACAGGAATTACACGTATAATACATATCATAACTAGGAAACATAAAGTAAATCGTAATTGGGCCATATTCGTATTTTACACGGGTAAAAATTTTTAAATAAGGCTTAAGAGATTCTTTCGCAGAAAATTCAACCCGATGAAGGGTCTCTTGCAGTGCACCAACCCCATTTATAATGTGTAATCAATCAGTTTAGAGTGAGTGTCACCTGTACTGCAAGAGATGCCATTGAATAATCTTTGTGCATTTGCAGAAATTTTGTGATTCACAAAGATCGAAGATGTCAAGACATTTCCAAACTGAGATTGTGAAAATTATGAATTACAATCATTAATCACTCAAAGACACAAATAGTAAAATGAGTAAATAAATGAAAGAAACAATTCTCATGTTATTGAATAATTAGTTGAACCTTTTCAGTTAATGATCTTTTCATTAACAAAAATGGCTAATCGTTTATTAAGTTCAACAAAATGTTTACTGGAAAGTTACACGAAAGCCTTTGATCGCTAAAAAGGAAGTTTATTTAATAAAATATTTAATAATATATTGTGTGGATGTCAAAGCAAATATTGTAATCGGTATTACATACAATCTGAGTAAGTAAATACTAAATTAAAAATAAGTGAAATCAATGTTGTTATTTGGATATAAATTGATAAATTCGGAATAACTGGACTTTAAGACTAAGGCTAAACAAAAGTATTGAATTTAAGGCTAGTAACAACATTTAAATGATAAAATCAAGAAAGTATATGATCACTATTTGTTTTTCTGATTTTCTCTTTTTCTTGTTCTATTTGCCAATATCTCTGACATTGTTTATGTGACCTAGTACCTACAACTTGGCTAACTTTAACCCAATTGTTTCCATACATGGTTACACCTTCTTTAATCAACCCCTTTTCTGTTTTGCTCCACATTCGCCTATTGACAAAAGGATTAACACAAACTAAGGTATCCGCCGCTTTTTTAATTTCCCACCCATTTCTCTCTGGCATCATTTGCTCGATTCTCTCCCAATTTTTGCCATATTCTTTTAGTAAATCACGTAATTTATCTAATTCTTCAATTGTCCATTTTGGGGTTTGTAAACGTCTGTATCGTACATAAACCGAATGGACTGGCCGTTTTAATATTTCAGAAATCACTCGATAATCTTCCTTGTATTGTTTAGCTAGCTCCTGTAATTTCTTATCTTCTTCGGGACACCATTTTCCAAATTTGGTTTTTGATAGAACTTTCCATCTTTCTTGAACTTGTGCTGATGACCTATCAGAAAAAAATTTCTTCCTAATTTCACTCCATTTCCCCACACCATACTCATACGTGGCCATTCTTAGTGTTTCATCATCCTCTGGTGTCCATGTATTATATTCTGACGTTGGTCTTGCTTTAATTTTTTCTAAATGTATATATTTTCGTCTTATAGTGGAGGGTGGTCGATCAGAAAGATATTGTTGAGAAATTAAGTTCCAGTTTTTGCCATGTTCTTTATATGCTGCTAGAAGTGTGGTGATTTCTTGAGGTGTCCAACGACTGTATTTTATGGTACCGATTTTGGTTTTTTTTAAAAGGTGCTTTACTACAGGTATAATTTTTGGGAGTCCAGGAATTTTATAGCCTTCCATTGTCGTTAGTAAAAAATTGATCGAAAAAAATAGGTACAGTATGTGCATTCCCGCCAATCACAGAGTGACATGAAATACAACATACATGGATAAACCTGTCAGTGCAAATCTGATCATTTGTACTGTGGATCAGATTGTTTTTTTGTACAATGTAAACCAGAAGCCACTAATACACAAAAAGCCTATTACGTTGCGCCTATATTGAACGGAGATGACTGAAACACAGATGAATGACTATGGGATTTCCTTTTTGCTAAATTATTATGAATATATATGAATATATCGATATTAGAACTTAACATTTAACATTGATCATCTTCATGTAAAGTAACGTAGTATTTGAAGATGAGCCTTGTTGATAAAGATATGATTGTTTCGCATTGCTAACAAAGCCATAGGCTCATATGACCAATATGCATATAATGAATGCTTACGTTGATCTGAAACTTAATGTTATTTTTAAACTAAGTTCAAATTATATCATGTGAGAGTTGCATTTTGTTCAAACTTAAGTTTCGAACCAGAGACGCACAAAAAACATAATAAACAACTTATCCTATTGAGAATATGTGGAAAGCATTAAAAGGCAACGAAGGCCGCCTCCACCAAACCTTACGAAACCTTAAGGACAGCATAGGTGTACGTATCAATCTTCATACTATGTATTAATATTATATTAATTAATTTATGCAATTTATGATATTTTTTGTTTTTTTGTGTAACCGTGTTGAACTTTTCTGTAATTCTACATATTATATAACAAATTAAAATTGAACCGTTTGGGACTTAGGTCCTTTGGAACTGCAATTTTGGACTGTCGATCAAGTCCATAAAATTCCAAGAATTCAAAATGCCTAAATAAATGTTTATAATTTATGGGATATTAAATTCCCATTTCCTACATAATCGTGTTGATATAGTCAGATTCATCAATTTCAATTATGGATCTGCAGATGTCTATGTCGGGTACATTGGCACTATGTCAGACATTGGTGTCTTGTTCCCATAGGCGCAAAAACGCTAAGTGCTAGGCACTATTAAAAACGCATGACAAAATACTAGGCATTATTATTAAAGATACAGGTCAGCCTAAAGTGCTTGTGCCTAAATAAATGCATGACAATTTTGTGCCAGACAGCATTTATGCTCATGGGCACAAAGTACCAACTAGTATATGGCTTTTTGTACTTGCATTTACGAAAGCGCGCAATTTAAAGTCAGGTTTTTGTACTACAAAACTTTAAATTGTGAGTGTCGCTAAAAGAAAATCCGAAAATTTAAATATATGTCATATTTCAATTTTCGGGTTTTCTTTTAGCGACACTCATTTGTAGATGTATGTCCAAAATGAGCGCCGCCAAGTGAAAACCAGGAAGTCTAAAAACAGAATTCTTTATACAACAAAAGCGGGATTTCTAGTCCGATGTCCACATTCCCGTGTATAAAGAATTCCATTTTTAGATTCTTGGTTCACGGTACACTCAAATAATGATTGTACTCAGGTTACCCGACAGATAAACTCCCTGATTACCAGGTAAATGACGTATAAAATTTTACCCGATATACCGAGTAGACATTCATGTACGTACGTACGGTGCAAGAAGTCTAATAGAGACAAGATAAACAAATTATTTCCTAAATTATTGGAATCAATAAAATGTGTACATAAATACTTTCAAATGAACTACTTAATTATACCTACTTAATTATACGTTATATTAACTCTGGAGAGATGGTCTGCTTATTTCTTAACTTATCAACTTCCATAAAGTTGAAATTAAATATTTCTTAAATTATCGACTTCAATAAAGTATCACTTTATTGATGTTAACAATTTAGGAAATACCTTGTTTATACGTACTTGTCTCTATAAGGTACGTACGTACGTACTATAGATTCTGGTGAAACTCTTTGTGGTGAAACTGGTGAAATTTAATATACGTAACAGCCATTCAGATGTTAGATAGTTACCAGTTTCACCAGCATCTATACGTAGTACGTACATTGTTAACAAGTGTGACTATTATGTCGGATTTGGCAATTTTATAATTAGACAATATGGATGTTACATAACACAAAGCTTTATTGTTTAAACATCATTTAAAATATCCAAGAATTACCTTTTATTTCGTTATTCAGTTAACATCTATGGCATGATGGTTACAATCTAGCAACTATGTAAAATTTTGATCTAATAAAACTTCTGAAATGAGTGACACCGAAGAAAACTAGACTTCGGGCTTTAAGTTTATTATTATTATTTATTGTATTCAGCCCTGAAGATGCACATATAACTAAATTTACTTACATTGATACCTCAAAATTTGCTTGCAGGTTTTGCCTTGGCATCACTCAAATAATAAACTTAAGTTCACGAAGTCTGGTTTTCCCTTAGCATCACTCAAATAATAAAGTTCACGAAGTTTGGTTTTCCCTTGGCATCACTCAAATAATAAAGTTCACGAAGTCTGGCTTTCCCTTGACATCACTCAAATAATAAACTTAAGTTCACGAAGTCTGATTTTCCCTTGGCGTCACTCAAATAGTATAAGCAATATCTAAAGTTTGGAATTGATTTATTTTTCACATGCTAAACCCTATTATTTTATATTATAAATTTATCCAAATCACAAAACGTTTTTAAGTTTATATATATATATATATATATATATATATATATATATATATGTATTTGTATATAAGTATAAATTAATAAATATTTTAATTTAAAATTAAATTTAATACTATATATATATAGTTTGAAATTAAATGTATATAAATATGGTGCCGTCAAGTAACAACCAGAAATCCTAAATATAGGCTTTTTTATATAACGGAATGCGGGTTTTTGACCAATCTGACTAAAATAAATTATACTGTTTTTTAATCACATATTAGTATTATTTAAAGTCCGTATTCCGTTGTTTAAAGAAATCTATTTTTAGACGTCCTGGTTTTTTTACCTACATATAAAATTTGTATAATAAAAATTTTATTTAGAAATTTGGTTAGTTTATATAATAGATTAAAATCAAATTAGATTAAAAATTAAATTTTATATAGTTTTTTTAATCTTCAAAGGTAAGGCCATGCCTTAATTTTATATAGTTTAAAATAGACAAGTTATTAAAAATATAAATTTTTGAAGCATATTTTTTAGAGTTAGAGGTTAGTTTAGGGTTCAAATTTATAATAAACAAGTATAATTAGGTTTTAAAAATTAAATAAAAGGTTTTATTTTAATTTTATTTTAATTAGTAGTAGTTTATATAATAAAATTTTAATTTTTAAATTTTTAATTGTTTATTATAAGTTTTTAAAATATAATAATAAATATAGTGATTATTTTAAAAATGATGGATTTTTTTTAATTTTGTAATGCTGTTCTCTTTATTTGGATATTTAGACTATTTAACAAATTATAATAAAATTTTTTTATAGCTTCTATTAAACACCAACTCAAAGAAGCTCATTTGGCTTATATCAAATGTGATAGCCTTAATAGAACTTGGCCTCTCTCTAGGTTTTTAACTTACTAAAAATTTAATCTTTTGAGTTAATAGCTAGCATCTTTATATCTAGCTATACTCAAATAGTTATATTTAATTTTAATCTAACTATTCTAATTATTTGAACTAAGACTAAATAAAACAAAAAAAAAACTAAAGCTATTTAATTTTTTATTTAAGAACTTTTCTATTCTTATCTAAGCTATAAGTATTAGCTTCTAAGAAATTTTACAAGTATTTTATAAAATTTTAATATAACAGATTATTATCTTAAAGATTTAATCTATAAACATACTACAGATTTTTAATTTAAAATTAATTTGGTAGTAATATCATATTTGTTATATTTTTTATAGTTATATTGTATCTAAACTTTCTGATATAAAATATTATCAATATTAATTTTTTAATAAAAAAAATTAAAATCTTTACTTTTTGAAAAAAATTTAATACAAAATATAAATATCAAAAGATGAAATATTTATTGTAAGATACTAATTAGAGAGTATTTTATATTGTTTTTTTTTAGTTTTTTTTTTATTTTTTTATTTGGTTTTAAAAACTTTTTTTTTAAACTAGCCTCTTCAGAGCTGGGATTTTTTATTTAGAAATACCGAACAAGGGTTTATCAAGAAACCTTTATATTAGATGAGTATATTGCAATATAGTAAAATTTTATTAGTATATTTTATATTATTATTAGTATATTTTTAAATTTTTATTAATCAATTTTTATTAGTCAAATTTTGTTAGCTATTTTTCTTATATATTTATTATATATTTTCTTAAATTTTATTATATATTTTATATTATTATTATATATTTTATCAT